AGTTAATTCATTTTCCATTGTACAACTAGACCAAATTTATTTTCCCAATCTACCATATAGATGTACACTTGGGTTTCCCCCCAATTTGTGACTATTACACATAATGCTCCTCTATATATTATTGTACACGTCTTTAATGCACATAGATTTTTATTTCTGTTGAATACACACCTAGGAATGCAACTGCTCCATCATAAAGTTCAATTGTTGTAGATACTGCCAAACAGTTTTCCAGATTGTGTTGGTTTGCCTTGCCACCAGCAGTGAGGAGAATTCTTATTTCTCTACATAGAGGTTGACAAACTTTTCTAGTCTATAAACATTTTAGACTGTGGGCTATAATTCCTCTCATAACTACTCACCTCTACCTGTATACCATGAAAGCAGTTATAGACAAGCGTGAGCAAATGTTCATGACTGTTATCCAGTAAAATTTCATAAGCAAAAATTCTTGATGGACTACCTTTGGCTCTCGGGCTATGGCCTGTACTGCTTCTACACATCACATGGTACTGTCAGCCTTTTTAATTTTAGCCATTTTTGTTTTTACTTGAAATTTGCAGAGAAATGAGATGAGCACCTTTGAAACAATAACTCTTTTGTCAAGTTCTTGTTGAAGTTTTGGCCCATTGCATATTTCTTTTTTTCTTAGTGAATTGTGGTAATTCTTTTATATTTCTGGATAGGTATTCTTTGTCCATTATTTTATGGTGGTTTTCTCCTACTCTGTAGCTTGCTCTTTAATTCTCTTTATGATGTTTCTTTATATGTCATTACAGTTGATTTTGTGTGTGTGTGTGTGTGTGTGTGTGTGTGTGTGTGTGGTGCTGGGGACTGAACCCAGGGCCTTGTGCATGTGAGGCAAGCACTCTACCAACTGAGCTATATCTCCAGCCCTCTTTAAATGACATTACATTTGCTCCTATATTGAATGTTTTCTTTTCTGTGCTTTTTTTTTGAGATGGATCTCACTATGATGCCCAGGCTAGCTTCAAATTCCTGGGCTCAAATGATTCTCTTGTCTCAGTCTCCCAAGTAGCTAGGACTAAACATTTTAGACTTACATGTCACCAAGTAAGTTTTTATTTGTTTGTTTCTGCTATTTTGCTAAATTTTTATGATGGATGCTTAACTTGCTAACTTTAGTCTTATTTACTTTCTAATTTATTAGTCTTATTTTCATTTAAGGCTATACATTACCTTCAACAACAGGGTTAGCTATATGCATCTTGCTAAGTTGCCCAGGCTGACCTTGAACTTTGGATCCTCCTGCTTCAGCCTCCTGAGTAGCTGAGGTTATTACAGGGTTGTGCCACTATGCCAGCAGTCAGTTGTTTCTTTTACTCAGAGTTTCAATGTTCAAAAAAATATAATAAAAGTTACCTTTTTATTTTGTGTCTAATAGTTTCAATATTTAAATATTTGAAGTTTTTTCAACTCTGATTCAGTTTTTTCCTTCTTCTGATTCTCATTATGGAAATATATTTCCTTGTGTGTGTATATATATTACTGTGAGCTTTGTGAGGATTTGGTGAGTCCAAGATTACACCAAAAGACTTGCGTTTGTTTTTTCCATGCATCTTGAGGGCAGGCACTACCAACTATGATTGTAACCAATTTAAAACAATCTTTCCAGGTGTGGTGGCACATGCCTGTAATCCAGCACGCCTGTAATCTCAGTGGTTTGGGAGGCTGAGGCAGGAGGATCATGAGCTCAAAGCCAACCCGAGTAATTTAGCAAGGCCCTAAACAATTTAGCAAGACCCTGTCTCTAAATAAAATATTTTAAAAGGGGGGCAGGCTGGGGATGTGGTCAGTGGCTACGTGCCCCTGAGTTCAATTCCCAGTATCAATCAATCAATAGAACAAGAACAAATAAACTATAATCTTGACTAGAAATTTTGGGGAGCCTCTAGCAGAGTTAATTTGAGGGATTGCAAATGGAAAGCCAATGTTAGGAATTACCAGGGAAGATATTTTTTTCTCTCTCTCTTAGTGCATGGATTGAAATAGGTTAATTTTACTTCTGTCCTATTTTATGGCATGTGTTTATTTTTTGAGCTCTGTGATGAGTCTGGTCCTTTGATGTTGCAGCTTTATATGGTGATCTTCCTCCAGTTATGTTCTATGTCTTGGGTAATCCCTGACATTTTCTCTTGTCCCATGCACCCCCTACTGCTGTTTAAAGAAGAGCTCAGTGTCACTGGTGTTGGGCTAACACTTTCAAGGGCAAAAGCCAGCTTAAGCCCTGATGTGCCCATCTGAGTTCTTACTTTGAACTCTGATAATATCTTTTCTTTTAATTTCATTGAGAAACTTAAAAACAGCTTTTAAGTATTAAATGAAATATATTTAGTTGTTTCAATCAGGAGAATTTTTGTAGAGATCATAGTCAAACCACAGTGACAGAATCCTCTGTAGTTTCTTTTTGTAATCACACTGAACAGAGATGTAAGAATGAATAATTTAGTATATATTTTATTGAAGTCTGATCTTTTTATTTAATGGTGTGTCCTCAAGATCTTTTCGAATTACACATAAAAGCTTTTTATCATAGCAAACTAGGCAGTCTGAGCCAATTCTCTCATTGAAGATGATTGAAAAAAAATACAAAATGCATTTTACTGAAAGAAATGGTGAGGTAATAAGTTAAAGAATAATCAGGCCAACCCAAGAAGGGTTTCTGTCAGCTGACTAAACCCTTGTTGGATTTTTTTTCATGGAAAGCTTACTCAGAGACTTTTGCTTTTATTTTATTGGCCAAACTAAATTGCAAGGGGCATAGGAATTTTGTTATTCTTATCTATTTTATTTTATTTTTAAAAATAAATTCATATGTGTATATATATTTGTAAATGGACCTTTATTTACTTATTTATTCATTTATTTAGGGTACCAGAGAACTCAGGGGCACTCAACCACTGAGCCACATCCCCAGCCCCAGCCCTGTTTGGTATTTTATTTAGAGACAGGGTGTCTCACTGAGTTGCTTAGCACCTTGATTTTGCTGAGGCTGGCTTTGAACTCACGATCCTCCTGCCTCAGCCCCCAAGCCACTGGGATTATAAGCATGTGCTATCATGTCCAGCTGTTTTATTTATTTGATTGTTTATTTATTTATTTTTATGTAGTGCTGAGTATCAAACCCAGTGCCTCACACATGCCAGACAAGCACTCTACTACTGAGCCACAAACCCAGCCCCTATTTTATTTTATTTTTGAGATGTGGTTTCATTAAGTTGCCCAGGCTGCTCTCCAACTCATGATCCTCCTGCTTTGGCCACCTGAGTAGTTGGGATTACAGGCATGCACCACTGTGTCCAGCTTTGTTCTTTTTAAGATGTACATACTATTTTATTTTTAATGAAATGAGAGAATCAATATTATAATGAAAGGCAACAAGCTATACACAAATATTGATTTCCACATGTCAGGGAAATTTTCAAAAATAGTAGACACTATAAAAAACCTCATTTGTGTTTTTATTGATGTTCATCAATTTAGAAAGAAATGACATTTATGATACATTTCATTTTAATTACTGATTTTTACTATTAAGTCCCTTGGTTCATCTAATTATTCATACTGTCTTTAAAAGGACCTAGCATTAAGTATGCTCCCAAATATTTTCTCAATGCATACACAAGGGAATGAAGAAATATGTGGTCCTATCTCCTTATTTTCCAATGTAAATAGATATCTCTATGAGAAACATATTGTTTCTTCCTTTAAGAAGGTTAAAGCTGCTGGTTTAGCTATTCCAAACTTTTTAGGGAAAATATGGAACATTTCAAGGCTCTGATGAAAGTCAAATAGCCAATACTTAGGAAAATGCATATATGAGTCTCTATCAAATTTGCACACAATTCTAGGATATTCATGGATACTTGAAACAGCCCTTCCTGAATCCCAGCTCAGCAAACTTTACTCCAGAAACTTGTAAACATGGCTTACAGGAGGTTTGGGTGTACAAATAGGAGCCAAAGTCAGTTCTAACTCCATGAATACAGTGCTATTAAGACTGGTCCTGGGCTAGGATTGTAGCTCAGTGGTAGAATGCTCACCTGGTATGTGTGAGGCACTGGGTTCGAGCCTCAACACCATATAAAAATAAATAAAATAAAGGTATTGTGTCAATCTACAACTAAAAAAAAAAAAGACTGTTCCCAACTCTAGATAGAGAAATATCTCCCTTACAAAAAGATTGTAGGACATTTTACCTATGTGCAGATAAGAACCAAGGCAGTTCATGGTGACTCCTCCTGCCTGGTGTTTGGAAACAGAAGAACATTGACTTGTCTCTGACCCTCATCCCTAATTAGACTGTGTCATTTTATTTTAAGAATCCTAGAAAACTCAGAATTAGGTGAACACATACATTTCATTTTGCTCAGGACGTTCCTGGTTTATATCTATTGTTCTAATATAATTTTCTTTTTCTTTTTTTTTTTTTTTTGCATTACTGGGGATTGACCAAGGCATGCTTTACACACCCAGTGATTTTTAATTTAATTTAATTTATTTTATTTTTTAAAAATATTTTCTACCAGCTTATGTCTTGTCTTTTTATCTTCTTTTTCCCCATATATAACTCTTCTAAAAATATTTTATTTGTTTATTTTTTTTAATGTGATGCTAAGAAATAAACCTAGTGCCCCACACATGCTAGGCAAGTGCTCTACCACTGAGCCACAACCCCAGACCCCTTTTTTTTACTTTCAGACAGAGACTTATTAAATTACCAAGAATGACCCTAAACTTGTGATCCTTCTGCCTCAGTTTCCAGAGTAGCTGGGATTACAGGCAGGTATTGTCACACTGGTGGCCTCCAGTATAGTTTTCAATAGCACTTTCTTCCATTCTCTGAAGGGTCCCAGTTTGGAGAATAAATTACGTGATTACCCTATTCAAAAGGACCAGCTGTTGTTCAGTTTCTGGATTTATTTGTGAATCCTGTAGCTCTATTCCCAAACCCTATTCCAGAATGCCCACTGTGACCTCTAACTCTCCTCGTCCTCAGGGTCTGTCCAGACTTTGATCTGCCTGATCACTAGCCACTGCTGAGACTCTGACACCTCCAGTCGTATACAACTCAGCTTCTCCATAGAATCTTCGTCATAAAATACCCTCTGGTCTAAATTTCCTCGTACCAGTGGCCCTAGCAGGAAATAGCGAACACAGCGTTTGGAATGTTCCATGATGTCATAGCCCAGTAGTACTCTGCCCTTTTGCAGTTGATACATCCCGTTTTCCTCAATGCCTGTCAGCACCACTATTCGGATGATTTTTTGTGGTCTATCCAGAATCACTGTGAGGTGGTTGCCTTTTTCAGGATCCAAGGTAGTGTAGGGCTCCTCGTTCAGAACATAAGCGTATAGTGGAACAATGTTCAGTATGGACATCATGTCAGTGACTACAATAGCCGTGGGATTGTCTGGCTCCCCAGAGACCTTGTCCTTCTCCACAGGAAAGCATGTGTCCTCCAGTTCAGAATAATTGCCCATGTGGTGGAACATGGAGGGACTGAGATGAATTGGAACATTTTGTGCCAAGAGAAGATGAAATCTAGAGAGAAGCATGGGAGCAGAAGTGTTCTTGGGGAAGAGGAGGAAGAAAGAGGCCAGGTGGGAGAGGTCCCTGGAGTGGAACACTTTCCCAGAGAATCTCAGGCTGGATAATTCCAGGATCACCCAGGGGAATTCTTTCCAGGCTGATAATGCCCAGTAGATGGCAGAGACAAAATAGAAAGTGTACTGAACATGATCATCCATCAACAGGAAGTAATCAGAGAGGTTGCTTGCAAAGTTCATGAGCAGGGCATAATCCACTTTCTGCCTGAAATAAAGTTCTTCACAGGAGGAGTATTGGTTTATGTTCTTCAGCGGGGAGTTATCCAGAAGCCCATGGACCACAAGCAGCTTTCTGGCTTCAATGTGTAGGTTGAAGAGGTCTGAAATATTGGCCACTGTTTGGCTGAGCCACTCAGGGTCAGGGTCTGACAGATGCACCAGCACCACTATAGACTTCAGCTCAGCTTCTGAGGAAACTTGGAACAGGGACTGCAGGGTGTCCAGGAGGTAGCTCCCTTGGGGGCGTTGCACTGAGGAAATGCCCAATGTCAGCAGCTCTGAGAGAGACAGGGGGACCTTTAGCACTTCAGGATGGTGGAGAGTTCCTAGGACTCTCCTAAGACCCTCCCCTTCATGCCAATCCCTGCGACAAACACTTTTCTTTCTTTTGTCTTCTTTTTGTTGTTATTGTACTGGGGATTAACCCAGGGGTGCTCTACTACTGAGCTACATCCCCAGAACTTTTTAGTTTTTTGAGACAGGGTCTTGCTAAGCTGCTGAGGCTGCCCTGAAACTTGTGATCCTCCTTCCCAAGTCACCGGGATTACAGGCATGTGCCACCATGCCTGGCACAAATTCACTTTTCTTTTCCCTGGGAGTGTATGGTCCAGGTGAGAGGTTACTAAGGGATCAGAAGTTGTGAAGTGGTTTCTTTTTTTCAGTACTTTGAAAGGATGTGGGGGAAACTCATGAAGGACACTGCTATGTATGATGCAGGAGGTCACCATGTAGCAAAGACAAATATGCTTAGCAAGACCTTGACCTTCAGAATGATCTCAGTCATCATGGGTCACTCAGACCTAGATTAGAGAAACTCCATGGACCCCTGCAAGCCCCAGGGTCTGGCAGTGCAATGTATTGGGACACAGAGCCCACACGCCCCCTTTTCCCTCTACCTGGATCTCTCTCCCAGGGCTCCCCTGGGCTCCTCTCTCATCCTGGCTCCCCGCCCCCCCGGGGGGCCTGCCATGACTGAGCTTCACATGGGGTGGCTCCAACACAGGGTCACTATGGTCTTCTCATCCTGTGGGGCATTCAAGAGGTAAACAGGAGAGAGGAAAATGCACCCAGGATTGCGACCTGCTTGGAATTCCCTAGCCCGGCCCTGGCTCACAGTGCCCTCCTGTGCTTGCCAGCCACCAGCTCACTCCGCTTTGCCCTCCTTCCCTTTTCTAGTTAAAATACCTTGTCTGACCTTTGCCCAGTCTGCCTGCTCCCCCCATACTCACTCTTTTCCTGGGGAAGGGCTCCAGCTAGGAGTGTGTAGTTGGCACACTGGAGTAGAGGGGAGTTTTTCTGCATCTCCCTGAAGACTTCCAGATGGTTACTGATTTCAGAGTTGATTTGTTCCTGAACTGTCTGCTGAAGGATTTCTTTCTTCTCCTTCTGAGGACAAGATAGATATGTATCAGCCATGAGGTTTATCCCCAGACCCTCTGGAGACAACTGAGAAGCACATCCCCCTTGGGGGCAGGCTGAATGAGCCCCAGGACCCAGTCACCAGGGAGAATGAATGTCAGGGCTCAGCTACCCTCTCTCTCCACCTGGTCACACCTCAAAGTGCTTCCCAGCAGAAGCCATGGCCCTGAGTGGGGCATGTGTGGCCAGGTTTGTGTGGAATGTGTCTGGGAAGTTCCTAGGCCCATGCAGAGTAGACTTGCCTCTGGCCACACCCTTTCTTTATCATCAGCAGGCTGGTCAGTGTCATCTGCCTCTCCTGAGGCCTGGGCTGGGTTCTGAGGGAGACGCTGAAGACAAGGCCTGGTCCTGTGCTCAGGGAACTCACAGCCACAGGTCAGTCTGAAGTTTTTTCTCTCGCTCAGCCTAACCACACCCAGTTCTGCACCCCTTCCCCAGGCCACCTTGTGCTTCTGTCTGGCTGGTCTGAGGCAGCCCAGACAAAATGTGGATTCCAAAGCCTGAGTGCGCCCCCATGTGTGATTTGGTCTTCTCACTCGCAGGTGTTTACAGTGGAGAAGTTACTTCAAGTCCCTTCATGTGAGAAATGGGATGAATTACATGTCCCCTGTCAGGTCCTGGTGAGGGTGGTGGCAGCAGCCATGTGGTCCTGGTGGCCTGCGGTTCTGACAATCAGTGTGGTCTTGCCAATCAGCATAGTCCTCCAGAGGTGGCTGTGTACTACCCTTTCCACACCTCCAGTGCCCCCTCCTCTTCCCTGTCCCTCCTCACATCCTAACCATATCTCCAGACTGGTTCAAAGCATATCTCTGCTGTGACATGCTCTGAATTTTTCAAGTGCTCTCAGAATGCCTGTGATGAGTCTAGAGTGTTTTACATAATTGTGAACATTTCCTACTGATGGGTTGGCGAATGGTCCAGCCTCCATCTCTGGTACTCACCAATATTGTGTTATAATCAACTTGTTGTTCTTTATTCTCTTGAAGGAAGAATCTCAGGAGGACTAAGGACACAGCAAATATGAGACATATCCATAGGCAAGAATACATGGTGCTGGACCAGGAGCCGCTACACACACACACACAAAAAAAAATATGAGCAGCAATGAATTTTTTTGTTGTTGTTGCAGTGCTATGAATTGAACCCAAGAGCACTTTTCCACTGAGCCCTATCCCCAGTCCTTTTAACTTTATTTTGAGACAGAATCTCCCTAAATTGTTCAGGCTGGCCCTCAATTGCAATCCTTCTGCCTCGGCCTCCAGAATTGTTGGGACTATAGGCATGCTCCATTGTGACTGGCTTGTATCACCTATGGATCTTGAGTGCCTCCTGCTCAGAAAACATGGGGGGAGCCAGGCTTGGTGGTGCATGCTCACAATCCCAGTTACTTGAGAGGCTAAGGCAGGGGGATTGCAAGTTGGGGACCAGCCTGGATAACTTAGGGAGACCCTTTCTCAAAATATATAAAAAGTGTTCGGGATATAGCTCTCTGGTAGAGTGCCCCTGGGTTCAATCCCCAATACTGATAAAGATGATGATGATGATGGTGATAATGATGATGATCATAAAAAGAGAGCTTGGAGTGTCTTCTTCCTGTCTGGAAGTCTTCCACTTCCTGTTCCCAATTCTTCCTCCTGGATACCATGATCTGTTTATTATTGCCTTAATCTTTTCCCTTCAAATTCTTCTTTTTCCCCATATGTGTAGCATTCAAGAAAGGCAAAGATCAAAGTGTTCGATTCAATTTAGTTTCTATGTCCATCACCTCCTCCCTGGGTTAACTGGAGGAGCTTCCCTGGCTTATCTGCTCTTGGAGACCCAACCAGAAACACTGTGTTGCCAAGAAAAGGAAACTAGGGGTTCAGTGTTAATTACATTTTCCCCAAACTTCAAATTCAAACCAAATCTCCTCATGGGTTTTATGGATCAATAAATTGCATTTTGTCTTTCAGCTCCACACTTACTTTTGTGTCTGATCCTTTACAGGATTACTGTAGGCAGGTTTTTGAATCAAGTCAGAAGGACCAAAGGAAAGCTTGTTGCTGTATCTCCCCAATGCTAGGCTGGTAAGATGGATGGAAACCTGAAAGTGACCCAAAATTTCTATTCATGTACATATCTTCAAAGCGTTTGGAGTGCTATATCCATTGAAGTCTTTCTGCCTTACAGAAAAAAAAAATGGCTTGAGGGTTTATCAAAAGGCAAGAATTTCACTTTGGATGAGTTCCCAAAGTGACTTCTATGAGGTAGCTGAAACTAGTCATCCACCCAGGAGACTGCCCCTGACAACCATTGTTCACCCTGACTGGGAGCTGTGCACCTCTCTGATCTCACATTAAGCATGTTTCTGGGTGAGATAGAGGCTCTTATAATTTAATTATGGGTGTCCCCCCAAAATCTCATATGTGAAACAATGCAATAATTTTCAGAGGTGAAATGAACAGGTTATGAGGGCCTTAACCCAATCAATGGATTAATCCGCCAATATGGATTAACTGGTTGGTAACCACTAGGCAGGTAGAGGTTGTGCCTTTGGGATTTATATTTTGTCCTGGTAACCAGACCTCTCCTTGCTTCTTGATTGCCAAGTCCTGAATTGCTTTCTTCTGCCACATCCTTCCATGATGTTTGACTTCATATTGAGTCCAGACCTCTGGAGTCGGCCAGCCATGGACTGAGCCTTTGAAATTGAAAGCCAAAATAAACTTTTATTCCACTGTGTTGTTCTTGTCAGGTCTTTTGTTTACAGTGATGTTAAATTGATTGAAACAGAGGTGTAGTTTCAAAACCAGTTTTTCAGTCTTGTGATTTGAAATTTGGAAATTACCTATCAGTTTGAATCAAATCAGCAAGGGTGGATTCTGAGTTATCCCTTCTTCTATAGGATAGTGCCCCTGCATAAATCAGGGCTGCCTCCCTCAGCAGATTGGCATCATGCTGTGCTGTCTAGTGAGTCTCCTATTAGTCACTGCATTTTTTTTTTTTTTGTACTGGGGATAGAACTCAGGGGCACTTGGCCACTGAGCCACATCCCAGCTTATTTTGTATTTTATTAGACAGAGTCTCACTGAGTTGCTTAGCACTTTAGTAAGTTGCTGTGGCAGGCTTTAAACTTGAGATCCTCCTGTCTCAGCCTCCCAAGCCACTGGGATTACAGCCGTGAGCCACCATACCTGGCTTAGTCACTGTAAATTGGTCCTCAAACACTAGTTCTCTTGGACCTAAAACTGTATAGTAAAACTCTGAAGTTTCATTACTGGAAACTATATTTCTAGTTCTTTCTTCCTACACTTAAAATTTCACTTATGATAGTGTTGTTGACAGGACAAGCATCTTAAAACCATGGACTTCTATTGCATAACTTCTTTGAACTAAAAACCCTTTCCCTTCTCTCTCTCCCTTTTTAAAGTCTCTTCTTTTAATTCTTTCTCTGTCTTTCCATTCACCCTGCTTCTAGGAATCAACCAACCACCAACCAACCAACCAACCAACCAACCTTTAATAATATTGACATTAAAGTTAAAATGGAGAAGATCAAGAAGGCAATTCAGTTTTCATTAGAGTTACATGTAATTTTGATGAAGTTTAATTTTTTATTATTTTTTTTTGTGAGCAGTGATTTTTCATCCTATTTAAAAATATAATTACAGGGTTGTTAAAGAGATTTTTCCCTCCCATTTTTTTTTTTTTGTAATGCTGGGGATTGAGCCCAAGGCCTCTATCACTGAGCTACATGCCCAAATCCCAAAATATTCTCTTATGTTTGCTTTTGGAAGCTTTCTACTTTTTAACCTTTCAGTCTAGGTGTAGGTCTTTTACCTTTAGGTTACTTTTACCTTTAGGTCAAATTAATACTTGTTTATGGAATGAGGATCATTTTTGGTATCAACATCCAGTTGTTTTAGCAACATTTATGGAAAAGACTTTCTCTGACCCTTAGAATTATCTTGGCATTTTGTCACTATTAACTGTGAATGTTTATGGTTATTTTTACTATTTTTTCTTTCACCAATCTGTTTAACTATCCTTATCACTACACATAACATTTATTTATCTCCTCTCCTGCTTCTGAGTGTGTAATGATGGTTTTTGTGTATTCTTATAATTATGTAGGATAAATTTTTGTGTAGAAGTTGTTTCAATCCTATTATTTTCCCCATGGGGATGACCATGACTTCTTGTGATGTTTATTAAAATGAACATTTTTCCTCACTCATCTGCCACAGCATCTCTTTGATAAATCCAGTTTCTATACATCCCTATTTCTTGGGGATTATTTTCTACCAATGCACTTAAATGATGTCAGTATGATTTTAATAATTAATTGTTAGTTTTTAAAATTTTAATTCCACTTTACTGAAATATAATTTATAAACCATTGTAAGTGTACAGTTCATTGAATTTTGACAAATGTAGATAGTTATGTTACCATCATAGTCCAGATATAGAATGGTTCTTTTTTCTTTTTAAGTACTAAGGATTGACCCAGGGCACTTAACCACTGAGCTACATCTTCAGTCCCTTTTATTTTTTAATTCGAAACTGGGTCTTGCTAAGATGCTGAGGCTGGCCTCAAATTTGAGATCCTCTTGCCTCAGCTTCCTGAGTCATTGGGATTATGGGCATGTGCCACCATGGCAATACAAAACAGTTTTATCATCCTAAAAAAATTCCTTTGTGGTTCTTTAGAACTCTCTCTTTTCAGGAAACTGCTGTTATGCTTTCTATCACTATAGTTTACCCTTTCTAGAATTTAATATAAATATAATCACACAATATATAGTCTTTCATATCTAACCCTTAGCAAAATGCTTTCAAGATTCATCCATGTCATTGCTTGGATCAGTCGTTTGTTTCACTTTTATTACAAAGTAGTATTCCATTGTGTGGATATATCACACTTTGTTTATTCAAGGCTTTTTTTTAATATTTATTTTTTAGTTGTAGTTGGGGCACAATACCTTTAT